CTCTGTCAGTGAAAACGGGCTCCCAAGCTCCATTTTCAGCTGCGACGGCCTCCTTCAACCCTCTGTCAGTGAAAATGGGCTCCCAAGCTCCATTTCCGGCTGCGACAGCCTCCTCCAACCCTCTGTCAGTGAAAAAGGAGCATGGCCCTCCCAAGCTCTGTTTTCACTGACAGGGTTGGAGGAGCCGTCGCAGTCAAAAATGGAGCTTGGGAGTCCATTGTCTCTGGCAAAGGCACCACAGGCCGGTCCTTTGCTGTTTCCAGGGCAGCCTCACAGGCCAGATCTAAGTACCCCGTAGGCCTGATCCAGCCTCCAGGCCTTGAGTTTGACACCCCTGCTCTAGAAGAAAGGCTGCAGCCTAAGAAAAAGAAATCTCAATCCAATACTTAAAGAGTGCTTGAGCCTATGCAGAATGTATTTCTGGCAGGAAATCGCACGAAGGAATATATTCTACAAATAAAAGTTTATCTTCTAACTGCACGGGAGATTTTTCTTCCTTATTTTCTAGCACCAAGACCACACAAAACCTCACAATTCTCATTAGGGTACTTAAGAGGGTCAAAATCAATGGACAAACCTCACATCCCTAAATATTACAACATCAGCACTACACCAAATGGTGCACTTGGCTAAGAATGCTGGCTAATCCCAGATTAATTAAAACAGGTCTGCAAAGTCCCAATTGCGTTTAGGAAGAGAGAAAAAAGCATCAGACAAGCAATGTACAAAGTCAATTGCAAGCAGCGTGGCTAATTTCAAAGACTTGGGAGCTCTGGAGCAGCATAAATCCCAGCAACTTTTTTCAATAGGCTCATAAAACAGAATATCATTGCCATTCCGCTCACGGCTTTTGACTTCTTTTTACTGCATGCAGATCATTAGGAAACTTTTAAGCAATCAAGTAATGTGAGTCTCATAAAATTATTCAATCAATGCATAGACTCAAGAAAGCACAGCAGGCAGAACTAGAGTGTCAATAAGGTTTTTTCCCTTTCCCTTCTTCACAAAAATCTCCCCTCATGTGAATCAAAAGCCCAACAGGCTTAATAAAGGGATTTTTCCACCACAACTGCAGGAATGTGTGAACCATTTCTTTTCTGATATTTAGAGAAATCCAATCAACAACACGTTTATTCTAAAAAAAAAAAAATTGCAGTAGCATTCACATGCTACTCTGATTAAGGTTAATTTGTACAAAAAGTAATTCTCTATATTTTGCCTACTATCAACGCCCCCCCCCATCAATAAATTAATCACAGTTCTCAGTATCCTTCACTGCCACAGAAGTATGATAAGATGGACATTTAAATGGATACCTAAAATATTTTATATGCAGCTAATAAATCAACTATTGCTAAAGGGGGAAAGGATATCTATATGGATGAATTCCTAAATATACACCAATATTTTGCCTCTTGTTATTACTATTATACAATATTGTACAGGATAGAATGGGAGAAGAAAGTAGGTAAACATATTGACTAATTCCTCAATATATACTTGTATTTTACCTCTTGTTATTACTATTATGCAACATTACACAGTGCAGAATAGGAAAAAAATAGGAAATTATTCACTCTTTCCATTTTTAGAACCCAAACATCTGTAATACCTGTTGTTCACATCTTCTTGTCCAGAATGCTGAACATTCCTTTCTTCTCTTCCTTTGAAAAGTTTTATTTAGAAATTTTTTTCCAACTTATTTAAAGAAAGGCCCTCTTCTGAAATGTAAAATGAACAAACGCAGGTTTTCATTGTTCTTGCTTCAGTGGATTTTTGTAAGACAGGTGTTTGCATTTATGCAGCAGATGTACAACCACGGAAAGACAGAGTCTGATCTTGTAACATTTTCAGAATTGAAGCTTGAAGTGAGGGGGGAAATGAAACTCACTGTACTTTTTGGGGGGGAAGGGGGGGACTAGAGAGATTAGTTATTAACCCAAATTTAAATGAAAGTGCTACTTATTTCAGACTAGCTATTTCCCATAACCTGAGGGGTGGGGAAGAACGCTACGGATGACAATTATCCAATTGCCAGCTTCATGGCAACAAAGTCACTACCTTGTCAAATGTGCCACTTGACCTGTCAAGCCAAATTCTCTTTCCAAATTGTTCTGGTTCTCTCCTATCTCCCCTTTCTAAGCAAATATATATATCTCCTGGTGCTGCTGATTGAAAGGAACCATGAACATATATCGATTAAAACAAACAAAAACAGCTAAATTATCTGCAGGAAGGTATTTGCCAGTTATAAATAATTAACAGGCACCCAGTCAACATAAATAGCGATTACCATAAAGAGAGGGGGGAGAGAGAAGGGGCCGTTTGATGTGAAACCACAGCTCAACAGTGCATGCCACTGTTTGCTTAGTGAAAAGGAAGAAGCGTCCTGGTGCCCAGAGTTGTCGGTTCACAAACAAACTATTCATCGGTGAAAATTCATTGTCCGGGCACCCGGGAATTTGTCTCTAACCTTTCTCCAAGAGATTCTACTTTGCTGTAAACAAAGCATCTCCCCGCCAAAGCAGCATCCCCCCCCCAGCAAGTTTTAGATTTCAGCTGGAAAATGAGAATTTAATAATAGATCATAAATGGTTTGAATTCTATGGGAAGTCAGCTAACAATTCATTCATAAAAGGACAGCTCAGGCGAGGAAGGGGGTGTTTGTTAACATCATGAACCAAGATAGAGCTCCAGAAACTGTTGACTTATATCTACCTACTGTAGGCAAGAAGTCAGGGATTCTCAGCTCCAATCATCTTGGTTGAAGCACTGTATTATACTGTACAGCCCAGGACTGGCAGATAACGTTTTCCAAAGGGGGGCGGAAATCACTTAAGCTAGAAAGCCCCAACAGACTCCAAGTTGGAAGGAAGGGAATGCCGTTGGCCATTAGCTGTGGCACAAGGGACCATGGTCCCTGTTTGTCGAGGGGGGGGGAGGGAGACTTTAACTCAGCTGGACCAGCTTCACCACTGGAGCCTTCCCAGCCAGTCAGCAAGTGGAGCTGGACCTTTTCTTATCCCACCCCAGGTGATTCTTTAGTTCCTATTAGCACAGCTCTTGCCTGTCCTTGGACTCTCTTCTATCAACTGAATGCACAGAAGAGAAGTGGTACCCCACCAAATCACCATCATCTCTTCTGGACAGGGAGATGTATTTACACACAGATGCTGAACTAGGAAGGCTGAGGTTTCTTTGCTCTCTCTCTCTCTCTCTCTCTCTCTCTCTCTCTCTCTCTCTCTCCACCTCCCTCCCTCCCTCCCTCCCTCCCTCTCAGCATCTCTCTTTCCAATTCTTTCTCTCCCTCTTTCTCAGCATCTCTATCTCCCCCTCTCCCCCTTCAGCCTCTCTCTTTCTTTTTCTTTCTCTCCCTCCCTCTCAGCAACTCTATCTCTCCCTCTAACTCTTTCTCTCTCTCTCTCAGCATCTCTCCCTCTCCCTCTCTTGCTTTCTCTCCGACCACTGGCAAAGGAAAACTCCGAGCTGAGCTCGCTGCGGACAGCTCTGTGAATCATAATCAACAGCCCCCCCACCCGCCGCCAATCTCCTCTCCGTGCGTTCAAGTCCCCCGTGTGGACGTCAATGTTGCTGCCAATAGGTGGGGCCCACAGCAGCTGGATGGGAGATTTGGGGGGGGGTGTCCTTTAACCCTTGCCGAGCTGCCCCCGGCTCTATTTCGCTGGAGGCGGGTGGTGGTGGTGGGGAAGGCTGAGAGAAGGGAGCTGTCACGCGTGGCTTTCCCCTACTATCTTCGCTACCCTGCTTCCTCCAGCGGCTAAATTATCCAGGGTTGAACCCGGGGAGCCCACCAGCCCCCCCCATCCCGCCTTAAAAACTGCTCGTTCTACGACCTCCGCACCAAATGATTGACAAGGAACTGGAGCGGGTGGGGGGAGCGGGATGCTGAGGCTGCCACTGCCGGAGAGAGGTTAAAAACAAAACCTTAAAATAAAAAAAAAGATCAGTCGGGCAAAATGGAAAAGCAATCACGTTGCCAAACCACCAGTTCCTCTATACGGAAAGGGGGTGCGGGGGGGGGGGAAGGGGGGGTGCAGCAGCAACGTGGGTTGTGTGTGTGTGTGCGCGCG